CTTTCCTTTCTGGGCTAGGCTGTCTGCAGACACAGCTGATGAGCTATTTAGAGCTCACCAGAGACCTTGGGGCTTTGTAAGTCTCTGAGATTATACCACTTTTAAATCTTCAGAGGTCGTTAATGCCAAGGCAAGGGAGTCAATAAATATGATATGTTTTCATCAGAGCAAGACAAAAAGGAAAGGAGGGTGGATGCAAACTCTCTCATAAGGGGTCTGAAACTTTCACATGTAAAAGAATCACAGTGAGGAACTTGTTAAAAAAAAAAAATTCTGACCAACACTGGCCAATGCTAAATGTGCTGGTGATGGACATAGGCAACTTCAAAGCCCCTAGCCCTTCACACCAACACACACATTCATGCACACACATTCATGCATACACATGCACACACATTCATGCATACTCACATATGTTCCTATACAAAATAACTTAAATACATATGGAAACATTAATTGTTTAAGCCCCTCTTCTTCATCAAGATCTGTTTATTGTTTTCAGACCTACTAATGAAAAACTTTATGAACTTGAAAGCAAATTCAATGCATTCTTTCATTTTCTTGTACCATTTCCCTGTTTGACTTTGGAAAATCAACAGGGATTCTAGACTGAGGAGCTAGTTATTCAAGTCAGAAGAAATCTCAAGGCTGTGCCTGGAGGACCAGCAGCATTAGCAGACAGTCCTACGGGTTCATCCGTTAGCTGATTTCACCTTCACTCCCTGATTTCATATAATAGTTGGGGAGGGAGAGAAAAAAAAATCACAGGTGACAAAGAGTCAGCAACAAGCCAAAGAGGGACTCAGACATCCTGGCTTTCCACTCTTCAGTCTGGAGTTTCACAACCATTTCTAACCTAACAGTAACTCTGAAGAGAGCTGCCAGTACCAGCGTGGATCCCCTCTGCTGGGCTCTTTTTTCCTCCATATAAACCCTACTGTTAGCTTCTCTAGCTCACTAGTTAGCTCCCTGAGCTAGTTAGACTCTAAGGTATTGTTCTGAACAACGGACAATGGACAAACAGTCTCTCTGCAAACTCCCGCTCACCCGCTCCTCAGTCCTTTGCTCTCCACACACTGATTCTTTCTCTCTCTGAGCTTCCACCAGTTCTCACAGTTTCTTTGCTAGTTTCATATACATCTCGGATATTGCAAAGACTGTGAACTTATTGTGGAAAGTGCCTCTAGCAAGCCCTGTGCAATGTGTGCACAATACCAGGCACACATCAGATCTTCAAAACCTGGACTGACTTAGGCACAGTTCCCAAAGCCAGCCCTCATTCCAGCAAAATAAAATAAGTGCTGGGGGATTATTAAAGGGTGTGGTAGGTACTCCCTGTGCCAACTAGCTCACACTCCCCCAGGGGGCTCCCTAACACCGGGCACAAGAAACACTGGCTGAGGACACAGGGCAGGATGGGATACCAACAGACAGAATCCTGGGGATGCCATGAAATCCTCCCCACTCCAATCAAACACCAAATGGTGTTAGACCACCCTCTCTCAGGCCACCAAGATTAGCACTGTTCTGACACATTATCTGGCAGTGACCAGCTTTCATCTGGAACCCATTCCCCACCCACCTCGCAAACTAAATCCTCAGGCCTGAGATTTCCAAGCGACAGGGGCACAAGGCCAACATGGAGCATCGACTCAGAATCACTGGCTACGCTGCTATATAGACAGTCTGGGCAGAACAGAAATAAGTAGTCATTACTGAGCCAGGGAAATCCTTAGCTCTGAAATCTGTCTGCCTCAACAGCAAACAATTTCTCTACCACAGTTCAATTTTCTGAGGTACGTAGATGACACTTACTTATTTTTTATTGTGAAATATGCCATGTAAACAAAAGAAGGCATTAAATATATATTCAGTTTAAAGACGACGAACACTCAGAGACCTACCACCCAGGCTAAGAATGAACATTCCCCCAGTACCTAGATGTTTCTGTGTGTTTTTTCCTCATTATACCCATCTCCATCCCCCCAATGACAACCACTTGCCTGAATTCAGGGTTAATTACTCTCTTCCACTTTTTTATAGTTTTACTACCTATGACGGTATCCATAAAAAACATATATGGTTTAGTTTTACATTTTTTAACTTTATATAAATTACATCACACTGTATATTTTTTTCTGTGACCTGCTTTTCTTTTTCAACATTATGTTTCCAAGATTCTACCATATTAATGTAACTATTGTTCGCTGATTTTTACTATGGGGCAGTTCTTAATTGTAGGACTATGCAACAATTTGTGATATTGACTTTCTTGAATCAACCAGACCCACTGACTGTGTATTAGTACGGTCTGCCTGCAAATAAATTTATACCACGTGAGTTGTTGGCGGCAAATCCATGTGGCAGAACAGATGGCAAAATAACTAGAGATGTCAAATATATGGTGATGGAAGGAGAACTGACTCTGGGTGGTGAACACACAATGTGATATACATGTGATGTATTACAGAATTGTATACCTGAAACCTATGTAACTTTACTAACCATTGTCAGCCCAATAAACTTTAAACAAAATAAAAACTAAAATAAAAATAACTAGAGATGTTTCAGTCGATGATTCTTAAAGAGTGGGCAAGATTTCACTGAAAGACAGAGCTCAGCAAGCAAAAGGTGCCTTTGCTAGATAAGCTGGGTAGATGAACCCTAAGATTAAACCCTTGCGTGTCTCCAGTTCTATGGCTTAATAAGGCAGGGGAAAGGAAAGGGCTATTTTGACACTGCAATCTTCACCTTCACAGGCACATCAGAGCACCTTTGATCATGGTGAATAGCACCCAAGTCCAAGAAAAACCTACCCTTCAAACAGCGAAAGCTAAATATTTAGTCTGGGAGGCAGCAGACAGAAGCCCATCATTCTCTCAGCCCCAGGAAACCAAGGACAGCAGAGGATTGTCCTTGAATCCTGACAGTTTGATTCATCACGCTCTTAACTACAGCCCTTGATGTGATGTTTCAGTAATGCTGCACTTCCCAGGTGGGGGTGGGGAGGGGGGGGTGCACAAAAGAAACCCCTGCCGCTTGCACTGAGCACTCCCAGTGTGCAAGGCCCTCACACTGATAAACCTCATCTCAGTGAACTACAATGACCCTGTGAGAAAAGGTAATATCCCCATCTCACACCTGAGAAAACTGAGGTACCAAGAGGTTTGGTCACTTGTCCAGTATCACAAAGCTAATAAATGACAGGTCAGGGTTCAACCTACATCTTCTGATTGCAAAGCCTGCACTCTTTTCTAGTTGACTGCCCTACGACCACCTGCGCGTGCGCACTGACCTTATAAAAGGCAGCAGCAACGGGGAAGGGGGTTTCTTCGGGTGACACTTTCACAAGTGTTTGCTGCTGAGTGGCAGCAGGTTTCATGAACCTAGAATAAATAGTTAGATGGCCAGGCCTGTGAAAACTCAGAGGCCACATGTGGAAAATGCTGCAGTAGCGAGGCAGGCCAAGCGCGACTCTTACACTTAAAATCGCTGGAAAGCACTCTGTGCACCAATAATTAACGAGCATTAAATGCCTACCACGTGTTATGGCAAAAACACATCCGCTGAAGTCTGGCTTCTGTTTTAACAGATAACAGTCCTCAACACAAACAACAAAGGAGGGCTATTGGGAGACAGGGTATGAATTTCAAGGTCTATCAACTAGAGAACTTCAGAGAGCAATAAATAGGCCAAGAACTGAAGTTCAAACTTTTTAAGAGCTGGAGTCTACCTTCCAGCCCCCAAATAAGTGATATCAGTTGTGTCTGACACAAACTTTCCAAGTCAGCTAAAAGGCCAAGATGGCCGTTACTAGCGCCAACGCTGAGAAGGCCTCATTCTCAGAGACAGGAATGCTGAGGGGTTCCTCTTCGCCAGCTACTCACCACTGAAGAGATTGTTTTCTCTAGCTCTGCGTGCTCATCATTTCTTTGTGGACACGGATTTTCTAGCTACATTGTTGGTCCTGACCCTGTGAGACTTGACTATTTATCCCAACTTGTAAGTCATCTAGCGAGTCACAAAAATGGGCAACTGATTTCTAGAGTATGAGGCAACATCTTTGCAGATGCTTGGAGAAAAAAGGACAGAGAAATGTCACCTCTACTTCTAATGATGCTGCAGAGAAAAGATCCAAACACCCACCCCTCTCTTGCTCCTGATACCTGCCAGGCATCAAAACCTCACAAACCCTCAAAACAACCAAATCCAGAGAGGCTTCCTCAGAGGGATCTTTCCAGATGCTATGGGTATTGGCTGACATCACAGTGTTTCTCAAAGCATTATTCTCCACTCCCTGAGATTTGCTTGGGAAGATTTTTAGCAGTTACTCTCCACAGATAATAAAGATTTACAAACACATTCATATGATTCTTTTCCTTAAAATGCCTGGGGATTTTGTACATTGTAATAAACAATAAAAACAGGTTCCCAAACCCCTTCCCATCTCTCTAATACACTTGAAACTATTCTCCTGCCTGGGAATTCAGTGGCCATGAAAATGAGTTTGCACATTAACACAGGTATAAAATGGGAACGGCAATAAATAAAATTAAGTCATTCGTGATATGTACGACAAGTATAATATAACTCAGACTCTAAGTACAGGAGGTCTTAACCAACACTCCAGAGGGAACCATGGATCAACCCCCAAAACAGAAAAGCCTGGAGAAAATTTCACATACAAAGAATCATTGCTCTAAACATCTCTATGTGTATCCTGGAAGGATAACTGTGGCCGCTACACCTGATGTATAAAAGAGCAGTCTCAACTTTACCCAAGTTCCCCTTACCCAAACAAGCAACTCTGACAAGCCACCCCTGACCCGTCCAAGAATCCTGAGTTTTGTACTCCCCTCTGGGCCTCCTTACAGTCAGTTATAAGCTCTCTGGAAATTTCTACCAGTTTCTAACATAAATTGTTCCTCACCACTTCCCAGCGTGTTTTCCAGAGCTCTAAGCATCTCCCCAGTTTCTCCTCACCAACAAGGGAGTCTTACCGGGATCTCCCACCGAAGCAGTTTGTGCTAGGGGGCTGGTGCCGGTTCTCTGGAGCGACAGCTGTCCCACTGGATTCTCTCAAAGGTGGCTGTGATCCTAGAAAGGACAGAAACGTTGAGTAGCTCAGCCCTTGTTTGAGATGTGTCTACAGGAACAAGCTCACCCGTGTATTAGAGTTATCCACGACTATGGGATACAGAGCATCTAGCAAGCTGCAGACGCCAGCATGAGAAGAAATAGGAACAGAGGGTGAGAACTGATCAGGGTCACAGAACAGAGGGGCTCAAACCTGGGAAACAGGCCTTTTTCCAAGACCTTCAAGAACATCTAAGGCAGGTACAAGCATGTTGCCTTACACATTAAATTAACTTCAGCCACACCACATGAGACGAAGAACAGATGCTCACCATGCAAAGTGGGGGCAAGAAATTGGGGCATTTCTCCATATCATGACCAGACAGCTTTTAAAAAGCCAAATCAGATTCAACTGAAATCAAATCATGATACTCTTCTGCTAAAAACCTTTCAACAGCTTTCTGCTTCTTAGAATGGGGTTCAAAATCCTTAGCAGGGCCTTCAAGGCTGTGTGATCTGAGCCGACCGACCTGCCTCTGCTGACTCACCTTCCACCTCTCCTTGCTGCCCACTATCCAATCCAGCCTCCTGGGCCACCTCTAGTCCCAGCCCAAGCCAAGCTCATGCCCACCACAGAGCCGCTGCACATGAAACCCCTCCATCTCTCACTCAGCCAGCTCTGTATCCCACACCCTCACAGTGGCCTGTCTCAACTCTTCATACTTCAGAAGGTCTCAGCTTCCTCAGAGAAACTTTCCCTGGCCCCTCAATTTAGATGAGATCCCCCTAAAGTATAAGAAGCACATATCACCCACTACCTTTCCTTCACAGCTTTTGTCACAATTATATAATTATTTATGCGTTTACTCATTTGATGTCTAGCATCCCCTGCCCCCACCAAGTAAAGTATAAGCTCCTGGGAAGAGAGACCATGTGAATCGTGCCTCTGCCACCTGGCTACCACTTGGTCCAAGATCTAGTACATACCAGGTGCTCAATTATGGATATATGTGCTGAATGAGTGAATGATGCCTGTTTTTCTCCATGCACCAAAAATACCCAAGCACCATTCAGTCCAATTGAGGGAGGATCCTCCAGTTAAGGCCCAACCAATCACTGAGGTTTCACCCAACTGCCCTTGAATAATAATTTAAATTTCACCCCCTTGAGGCTACAGGAAACCTTTTAACGAGAAAAATTATGGAAAACCCAACCCATCTCAGACCTCAGACTTCATGAAATAATTTCCTGCTAGATCCAAAGGTGACTAATTTCAGACTAGAAGATCAAAAGAAACATATTCAGGGCAGAGTGGGAGACACTCTCTAAATTCCCTGCTTCTGTCTGTATTTTGTTAGTGTGAGTCTCTAAGACAGAGTCCCCTTTCCCAACCAATACCCTCTCATAAAAGATACCCTCAACCTCCCCAGGAAGGTTAACTATCTGGGAAGAAGAAAAATGGGCCCAAGAAACATTTAATAAAGACATTTTATTTTTCCAAAGTCCATGTGGGATGAAAAAATGTTTTTCTCTGCTCTCAAACCAAACAACAACATACTTACAAAGACTTGACATTTATTTTGGTCCTTTATCAAAGCTGTCCTTGAAAAATCATTTCACGATTTTGATCATGCTATGAATGCTAAGAAGAATCAGGGCTAGCTATGGGCCAGGGCTGGCTGAGCTGTACCCAAACCTAGGTACCTGGTAGAGAACCAAGCTTGGGCACCTCTTCCTACCCCCCGCCCCACCCCTGGGGAGCAGGGCGGCACTCACCATCAGTCACAGCACTGCCATTAGGCACACTTCCCAGATCAACAGTCGGCCCGTCCAGGAAAATTGTCAGCTCACCACCCGAGACAACACCGCCTTTGTTCTCTGTCTGCAGGTTCAGGGTCAGCTGCGTGTTCTCCACTGTTGGACACAAAAGGCAACAAGGATGGAAGAAAGAAATGCACCGCGAGTTAAGATTCTGTAAGTTATAAGCTCTCACTTCATTTAACTCTGGCTTGCCTCACAACATTTTTCTGCATCTTCAAGTATGTCTCGTGGCATGGGAAAAAGAATGGGAAGGAATGCCTAATTGTCACCATCACGTAGCAAGCTGGTGGGAAAGGCTGCACTCTTTCTTCATAAACATTTTAGGTTATTGGGTTAGCTATATAATTTCTATGTTACTTATTTATTTGTTCACTTATGCTTGCAGGACCGTAACAAAAGAGTAGAGATACGGATGGCATGCACACAGGAAGAAAGTAGTTATAGGCAGCATCCCCTCACCCATATAAAGCATAGGGGCAAAAAGAGAAACAGGTCAGGGGACCCTGAGGAAATGTCATTAGCAGCCACCTCTAGAAGAAGGATTGTAGAGGCTTATTCTTCTTATTATTTATGTTAAAAAGTATTTCTTTTTCAATTTTCATTCCTGGAGATGTTTCATTTTAAAATAAGGAAAAAAATTTTTTTAAATTAACGTTCAATACAAGCAAATCAGCCCCATAGTCACATGGGCCTGGGTTAGTCCTGTAAGGAGAGACCAGCCCACACCTGGCTCTATGGCTGAGGCGAGAAGGCAGCTCTGAGTCACCAAGCCCCCAGAACACTAGGTGAAGTCAGTCCTAGGGGCAAACAAGAAGAATTATGAAACCACAGCAGACAAACAGAACAAACTGGCACGAGGCAGAAGCCCCAAGCCCTAGGTGGGCTGGGAACTGCTACAAACACACCCTGACCCCCACCACCAAGCTTGGCCACAGCAAATAGCTTCCATCCAGTCACTGCGCAGGAGCTGGAACCTCCAGGTCAGGGCCATTCAATAATTACTGAGAGAGAGCAGTGTTTATGAGGATTTCCAAAGGGTATGCAGTCCTTCCACGCCTCCCACATCTTACAAAGCCAGGCCAGGAGAGCGCCACGTGCTCCAACCTCCCTCCCTCCCTCCTCACCACCCACCAAACCACCACTTCATTTTATCTCTTAGTTACTAATGTATTATTATAAGCTATCTCACTGGTTTTCTAGAACAAGACAGGGTATGTATAAATAAGCATCTCCTTCAGCACTTCCTAGAAACAACCGCACCCCACAAAAAACCCTGCCCCAAATCTAAGAAACAGACACAGCCCTTTAAGAACTTAGCTAAAAAACAAAAACAAAAAAAAACAAACAAACATCTAGATCAATTCAAGGACCTATTATAATAAAGTAGAAGCCAGTCAGCCTGTATGCTTTCAAGTTCCCCTAAGCATCTCTACCTTCCCTTAACCTCTCTTCCCTGTAATGGATCTCTCCAAATCCTTTTGAGTCCATTGGTATTTTCGGTCAGTAGTTCCACTGAGGGACTTGGTGAGTTCCAAGTATTTCTATAAAATAACACTTGTAATCTGAAAATAAGTTCCTTCAAAAGACTAGGAGTGAGGGAAAGAAGTGAGGTCTTACGACCACCAGACCCACTTGCCAGCCATGCAAATGAGCCCCCTGGGCAGTGAAGCCTCCAGCTCCTGGCTAGCCTTCAGATGATCGCCGCCCAGCCAACATATCAGCTGCAACCTCATGAGAGATCCCAGGCCAGGCTCCCCAGCTAAGCTGCTCCCAAATCCTTCCCACTGAAACCCTGAGATAATAAATGTTCATTACTGTTTTAAAAAACAGAAGTCAAGGAGTGTCTCCCTCATCTATTATGCCGAGATCCAGTGCCTACGTCCCTAGCACAGCACAGAGGTTGAGGGCAGGTGCCAGCCAGATAGACAGGATTCAAATCTCAGTTCAACTACCTAGTAACCGTAGAGCATTACACAAATTACTTAACATGACCAACAGTCTCCCTGTAAAACAGAGAATGGTACGATCAATCACACTTTTCAGAGGATACTTGTAAGAATTAAACAGCACCCAATAAGCAACTAAGAAGCTGTCATTTTTATTATCTCCCTGTTGACTTTTCTGTTTTTAGGCTGAAGAGTCCCAATTTCTCTTGGTCTAACTTGTTCATTGTATAGTCGCTCTTCTTTTGACTTTTCTGAGCCTTTTTCAGGCTGCGGCAACAAACTCCACAAAATCTTCCAAGGAAAGCCACATAACCATCATAAGGACAAATTGTTATACACTTGTAGGCTCATACATTTACTGGCAACTCTTCGAGACACACTTCAAAAAAAAGCAAATGAGCAGGGAGGTCCTTCTTTAAACTTCTGAGACCATAACCATCCACTGTCCTATTCACTAAAAACAAGAGAGCTGGAGAGATCTCTGCCATCACTATCATAACCAAGCGATCAAATTGAGTGTGGCTAAGAGCAAGGCAACCTGACACCCACATGCTTCCTGATGTGCTACACTATAAAGTACACAACCTCACTTTTAAGGTCTTCTTGCCTAAAGAATTATCTAAATCCAGTCGAGCCTATAAACCGCCTTCCCAGTTTACATGAAATTAGGAGACAAAGGAACAAATTCAATGATTCTACAAGGAAGCAATTCAAAAAATCCAGACTATGGTACATCTAATCAGTAACTGTCCTGGATTCTTCGGAAAGTCAGTATTATTAAACATGTTTCTTTCGGGGGGAGGGGGGTAAAAAAAACAAACGGGGACAGGAAGGAGATTATTCTAGATTTAAAGAAATATAGCCCAAACACTATGTGTGAATTGCGAGTAAACGTTGGTTGGAAAAAAAATATTCTTGGGACAACTGCAGAAATCTGCATCCAGATTGGATATTTAATAATGTCTGAAATTATTGTTAATTTTCTTAGGTTCAATAATGGCACTACGGCTTTCTACATAAATGTTCTCATTCTTAGGAGATGCAAGAGAAGATTAGGATGATATCTGCACTTAGTCTCAAATGGTTTTATAGGCGAGCAGGCTGAAGTTTTCAGGACTAAAGTGTCATGATATCTTCAATTTACCTTCAAATGGTTCAGGGGAAAAATGCACACACTCACAGGCTCACACATATCGGTTAAACAAATCCGGCAAAATGCTAACAAGGGTTGGATCTAAGTGGAAGGCATCTGGGTGTTCATTGTGTTACTCTTTCCATTCTTTCGTATGTTTGAAAATTTCATTTAAAAAGTTGGAAAGGGTTGGGGTTTTTTTAATTGGCAAGGCTATTAAAAAATTAAACCTCTGAGAACAGAACACCACATTATTCTCTTAAAAAAAAATTTAAAAAAAGCTGAGCCAGGGGAGCCCTACAATACATAATGGGACTAAAGAAGCCATTAGCTAATTGAGTGACAGACGTGCGCGTACAGGGGAGGCTGAAAGGAGTACGGTGTGGCTGGAAAACATATACTGGAATCTGAGCTATAAATAGCAGCATTAGCCACCTCGCCTCTGGGGCCCTCAGGTTTCACTACAGCAACGTTGACAACTCTACAAAGGGCCTTTCTCTTTAAGCTTGTCTTCCTACTGCCTTTGGAGGCACTGCTCAAAAATCAAGAAATGGGTGGAAAAATGGGCGTCGTAGGTCGATTTCCATACCTAGATCAGATTTAGCACAGGAAGCCCACCAGCTACTCCCAGCCTTGACCGGCCCTGCTCTGTCTGTGGTCCTGCAGGTCACATGTGTGTATTGAGCACCTACTCCTCTAGTCGCAGACATTCAACAAGAACAAAACAGACAAAAAACTGTGCTCCCAGGTGTTTACATTCTAGTTGGGGGGAACCAACAATAAGCAATGGGTTTTTTTAAGCAAATTGCAGAATCTTTTAGAAGGTGGTAAATGCGGGGGGGGGGGGGGGGGAGAGAGAGAGAGGGAGAAAGAAATGAGGCAAGGGGATGGTGAGTGCTAGAGGTGGGAAGAGGGTTTAGGGTGATGAGCAAGTCTCACTGGACGATGACAATTGCGCAAAGATTTAAAGAAGGATGAGGCAGGGAGCCATGTAGATCTCTGGAAGAAGAATATTCCAGGCACAGAGAGAAGAAAGCACAGAGGCCCCAGGTGGGAGCATGCCTAGCAGGTGAGGAGTGGCAGGGAGGCCGGTGAGGCTGGAGAGGATGAGGGAAGGCAGGAGTAGGAGATGAGGGGAGTCAGTAACCAGAGGCCACCAGGAAGGCCCCAGAGCGCTAGCAAGGTCTCTGGCATTTTCTCTGCGCGAGATCAGGGGCCATTAGAGGGTTTTGAGCAAGGAAGGGGCACGACTCCCATTGAAACACAATCACTCCAGTTGTAAGAGGAGCAAGGGCTGAAGCAGACAGACCAGGTAGGGGGTCACAGCAATATCCCAGGCTGCAGCACCTGGTGGCTTGGGCCAAGGCAATAGCAGTGTCTTCCGGGCACATGGTGCTGAAGGGAGACTCTACCTTGGCCTCCTCCATGACACGTTAGGAAAGTGCCATGACCGCCCCCGCCCCACCACACACATCAGCCAAGCCCCACAGACCCACCAGTCTCTTGGAATCAAAGCTTTGGGCAAAATCATAGGCTGGGGCTGAAAGAAATGCCAGCTTACAGCATGGCTGGAGGAAGTCAGATTCAATTACAACCAAATGGAACATATATAATGAAAATATTCCGCTGGCAAGAGACTTTAGTTCCACCAAGAAGGCCAAAGCCCTGAGCTCATGCTAACTTCAGCAATCAGCACACACACATCTTTGATTTTGCGCCCTTCCATTCTGTTCTAAGTACCTACTGGTTCCCCATACCCTGTAACTTTGCTTTACAGACATCTACAGAGAGCAGTAGGGCTGGGTATTAGACTCTAGGGGAAACGAATTTAAAAATTCTCAAGCATCATGCCAGGAGATCCCCTCAAAAGCCAGCATACCAAGAAAGACAAGCAGACATTAGGTGCCTCCTGATGAAAGCACACACCACCTCATCAAAAAGGAAAAAAAAGAATCCAGGTCAGATCAAGCCCCTACATCTACTTATGAGTTTAAAGGAAACACAGAGGGACGGTT